CTTCATCACCCATTCAAGCGGTCTCCAGCCATTATTTGTCTCAAAGTGGGTTCCTCGTCATCGAATAAAAGTTTGTTCATTGATGGCTAACAACTAATTACGTGATTAATAAATATCAAAATACATTCTAGTATTTTAAGAGATATTTAGCCATTAAAGATAATTATAGTGTAACAAACTAATTTTAAAAACGCTTGATTTATGATTTTAAAAATACTTTTATTATTCCGAATAGACATTACATTTGGTATCTCTGAAGTGACAGAACATGTGACAAATAAAACATGAAGTCTTTTCTGTAGTTGAGTAAGTACGAAACATTGCAGAAGAACACCGATAACAGCATATCATTCTTTAAAACAAAAAATATACATTTTAAAGTATAAACTGCAGCTCAGAAAGTGTGAACGTTTATTTTGGGGGGAGGGGCGGAGCTTACGCATGATAAAAATAACACCTAATTGACTAAAACAGCCTTTCTTTCTTACTGCCTAAAGAACTAAAAATATTTTAGGAGGTGAAGTAGGATAAGGGTGCATTTCTGCACTGATAGGGAAGGATTGTTCTTATTCATCGCCCCCCCCAAGTGGCACAGCGGTATATCTGCGGACTGACAACGCTAGAATCCGAGTTTCAATGCCCGTGGTGGGCAGAGCATAGATAGCCCATCGTGTAGCTTTGCGCTTAATTACAAACAAACAAACCTTATCCATCCGTAAAAAATGGTGCAAATAATTTGTTTGTTTGTTTGTTTGTAGTTAAGTACAAAGCTAGACAATGGGTATCTGTGCAGTGCCCACCAAGGGTATCGAAACCAGGTTTCTAGTATTACAAGTCCGTAGACATAACATATGCGAAATTCGAGAAACCACATTAAGAAGGTTGTTTGTACGAAAAGTGTCATCCATGTTTAAGGAAAACAAAGCCTTTGGTTATCTAACTTTTCTATATTTTTTTCTCAAATAAGTAATACTTTTACAGTGTTTATGCAGATGAAGTTGAGTTAGCCTTGAAAATGTTAAGTTCTAACTTGAATTTTAATATGACACTTACTAGAAGTTTAGGGTATATGCTGTTTTATTGGAGAAGAAGTTAACATGTGTGGACTTTGGAGTTTAGAAAAGTATCTTTGTACCAAATCCTATGAAAATTGGTCACAATATGGCCGAGTAATTGACCATACCCCCAAAATTATGCTTGTTGGTGATTTCTGATCCCTCTGGAAAGACTCAAAATAAGCAAATCCAACTTTTTTGTATGTCAATGTGTTGTGCGCATGAAAACTTATATTTGTACCAATTTTCATCTTGATGTTGTAAATATGACCACACAGGAGACTAAAATATAAATTTTTGGGTTGTTTGACTTTTGAACCCACAAAATTCTTAAAAAGACCTGAATCAAATAAATGAAAAGTTGTCTAAGCGTATTAGATCAAAATATAAACCTACCAAGTTTCAAGTCAATTCGCTGAGAAATGAAGGAATGGCGATCGATTGAAAAGTGTTCGGAAGAAGAAGAAAATCAATAGAAAAACAGCATGTCTCTTAGCAGAGACATACTATAACAATATTTACAAGAATTTTTAATTATTAATCAACCTAATTTTAAAATTGGAGTACGCCATTTTTTTACTTTATAAAACGCGTAAAATCCACTTGTTTGGACCTAGAATCCACAGAGTTCACGAATACAAAAAACTTGAATATATTCATAAGCGTTCATATCTATATAAATATAATAGTACTGTCTGTTGTCTGTCCATGTAACTACTTCGCAGGGTATGGATGGGTCTTCACTAAAATTGGTATGGAAGTTCATTTGGTCCATGCGGGGGTACATACAAATTTTGCGTTTTGTGGTATTTATAAGCGTTTTTGCTTTTTTTTTAGCACTACCTCACCTCCTGTAGATGGATCTTCAGCAAATTTGGTAGTGGGGTTCATTGGGTCCATGGGAAGATACGTCCAATTTTCAGTTTTGCGTTTTCCGGTTTTTATGGGCGTTTTTGCGATTTTTTAACACTATTTCGCCCCCTGTTAAATGTATCTTCACCAAATTTTGCATGAAGGTTTGTTGGGTCCATTCGGAGATACGTGTAAACTTGCTGTTTCGAATTTTGTTTTATGAGTGTGTTTGCGATATTCATATTGCATATAAGGGAACCAACTTTTCATGTCCTAAGATAACCTTTCATTAATCATGAATTTACATATCCTCCGTCCAAGGGATGGGTACTCCAGCTAGTATTTGCAATAGCATACATATTGCATCAAAAACTGATCAAAAATATAAAAATAGGCTAAACTCACAAACAAACAAAAATACTAGCCACCTATAGAGGAATTATAACAGTGTTATATGACTGATTTCCTAGGAGAGCGTGATGTTATATAATTCTTCCAAACAATCAAGTGACCAGTTGAAATTGATTTTTTGACCTTGACAGTGTAACTTTAATGAGTTTGATACTAAAAATAAATTGCTTCAGACTTGTGTTATTTTTCAGCTAGAGTGAATAGCGGGAAGATGTAGAAAATAAAGTAAAAAAACAAATAAACTATTGTTTATTAATACTAGCTTCAAAGCAGAGTAAGCTACCTACTTACAGAAAATCTAAACAACGACATCGTAATGAGGGTAGCTAACAAAATATAGTTTTCTTACATTCTTACTTATGAAGATTAAAATGCATTGTTTTATCAATTGGGTTCCCTTGCTGTAAACGATACTTTACGAAATTAAGAAACAAGTGAATGAGTTATAAAAAAAAAAGCTTAATAAATTGTAAAACTTTAAATATCATAATTTATTTAATCAAACCAATGCAATAAAGAAAATCAGGGGTGTATCAAATGACCATCTAGAATATTCTAAACATCTAAAAGGTCCGCTATCTTTCGATTTTCCAAAATAATCACTTGACTTTCATGTATACCACATAAATTATTTACGTAGAAGAAAAAGTCCACATTTTTAGAAACAAAAAGACCCCACCCCCCTCACACACACACACACGCGCGCGCGCTTGATCAAGTTAATCATTAGGTAACTGGAAGTAATAAATTAAATAATGCCAAACCTTCAGAACTAGAGGAAATGGTCATATAATGGGGTCATAATGTACTATATAATCAGCTATAGCTAATGAAGTATAATTCTAACAAGCACCTGATATACTAGTTAATAACTAGTTAAATATTTTTTAAAAAGTCTGCGTGTTTTTAAAAGATCGAGGTATTCTGTAGAAGTTTTATCTCCTTAAGTGGAAGTCAGAAGAGGGTTTAATTTACCATAAAAGTGTAAAAATTTGGTATTCAAATTGATATAGAAACCTAGTTTGTGAAAAACAAGAATGAATTTATGGGGTCCGTCCGCAAAATCTTGAGTACATTCTCTAATCGTATTGATAAAATTCAATCTTTTTTTTTTTTCAAATGCAGTAACTCTTTTACAGTATTTGTGCAGATGAAGCTGAGTTAGCTTTGAAGACAAAAAGTTTTAACTTGAATTTTAATATTACACTTACTAGACGTTTTAGGGTACATGCTACGTTTTCTTTATTTTTTAGAAGAAGTTAACATGTGTGAACTTTGGAGTTTAGAAAACATTAAAACTTATCCGAATTTATATATGGATGCTCTAAAACATTCAAATAATGCATAATTACAAACTTTACCGTAACCACTTTTTTCTGTAATCTTCAGATATTCCGACTACATGAGCAGTAAAAATTATGCTATGCTTGCTAAGTATGACTTACTTTTATGGACAAGTATATGTGCCTCTATGGGCATGGGTAATGGCTAGAATTTAATAATTTCAGTCTAAGTAAGTGCGATGTCAAAAAAGGAATGCAAATTACTACTTGATAAAGAAATGAAACTTAACCTGTTTTCAGATAGATTTTTTTTTAATGTCCCAGATAACAATTGCACCAGTAGCTAAAGAGAGAGTTTGAACTTGATAACATTATACAAGATGTACTTCCTATTTTTTATTTTTATAATAAATGTTATTTTGCAAAGTTTGGAAACTACATTATGTTGGGCTAATAGCGTTTTACAGTTCAATAAGTCTCTGAATAGCTAAATCTGTTTTCTCCTTCCGTGATTATACATTTCATCATAAACATAGAAACAAAATAAAAGCTTTGTTTTAAAGCAAAGCCACATTGGGCTATTTGTTGTGATCACCGCGGGAAATCGAGCCCCTGATTTTAAACTTGTAATTCCGTAGACTTACCGTTGTCCCACCGGGGGACAAAAATAAAAGCAACAATATATATTTAAAGTATCTCTGAAAATGACGTGGCATTGATTGAAATTATAGTAATACTGTTGCGTCAGCGAGATCACGTGACTATTGGCACGCCACCTATTTTCTAGAAGTATCTTGTTCCTTCGTGAATGCCCTAGCATTTATTAGATATATGTTTTTCTGGTATATAAATAAGACGCTCACAACGTGAGGGAATAATGTGTGTGTGTAAACAGTGAGTAATTGATCTGCAGCCAGAGAGTATTATTGAGCACGTTCGTTATTATAGCGTTTGTTTTAGCGCGATTGTTGAAATTAAGTGTATCGTAAAGTTGTATTCGGAAAGAATAAACAGTTTTATTAAGTAAGGACTTGTGTCGATAAATTTTCGTCGGAACGAAGTTACGGAAAGTTAATTAACAAACGGAGACGTAACAATACTTACATTTAAACAAATTTGTCGTGTTTAACTATGAGAATTTTAAATCTGTGTGGATACACAAAGGGTCACTTGCAGTAATTAAATTGTTAAAATTATTCCTCCACTCTTTCTTCTTAGGTCCAACAAAGATTAGCCCCCAGTGCCACAGCGGTATGTCTGCGGACTTACAACGCTAGAAACCGGGTTTCGATACCCGTGGTGGGCAGAGCACAGATAGCCCTTGTGTAGCTTTGTGCATAATTGAAAACAAACAAACAAACCAACAAAGATTAACTCTTAGGTGGCGTCGTCATTTTGACTATAAGTCTTTGTCTTTAATAAACTGAATACCTACATTATTACGTTCGTGAATTATATATGTTTATATATTTCAGGGCTGCCAACTTTTATGAATCTGTTTGAGTAAGACTTTTGAAGCAATAAAAGTTTAGTCCTGCGAGTGCCGAAGGCTGTTGTTTGCCTTCTCGGGTGTTTGGGGCATGCTCCCCTATGAATTTTTTTTAATGAAATGAAGCAAAACAGTGAAATCAGGTGCATATTTTTTTATTTTTTACTAATACGTGAGAATAGGCCCAGGTACTTCAGTGTTGGTTGCTCTGTATTGTAGAAACTGTCGGTTTAATTACATAGCCAAAATGACAAACCGTTTGAGAATACATGGTTTAATGAACATAAGGAAATCTTATGTTTTAGAACACTTATAAATAAATTATTTTTGATGCTATTCAATCATAATAATTTTCTAAATGTTCTACTTTTTATTTTATATAGTTGTGTCTGCGTACGATTTAGTAACACTTAACTCTATTCCAAAACGTTCAACCTTTAGAAAAGCTGGTGCTCGTCGTAATTTTTATGGCTCTTGAAAATATAGAAAATTTAAGAAAAGTCTACAAAGAAAATGTTTCACAGTCGAATATATATTGTTAAGCTCACTATTTAATAATTTAATAAAATAAAACCAGTTGTCCAGTTTTTAGTTCATATTTTTCCGCTGTATTTCTAAACTGCGTACCACGTTTTATTTATTTTACCTTGCTGAACTTGTTCAGTATTGAGCACACGTGTTTATGTACAATTTGTTTTAGGTAGTGAATTTTTAACCTAGACTTGATAAAAGTAATATTAGTGAATATGGCAAGGAAACCGAAAAAGAAGGTAAGAACAATTTTATTTATTATTAAATAAAAATCTCATTTGGAGTTTTGTTACATCAAAGTTATTTATTTCTCACCAAATATGTTGCAAACCTTTTTTGAAAAACAGTACATAATGTTATGCTATAGTACATTTTATTTTTAAGCCTAACTCAACTGTAAGTGTAACTTACGTAACTTTAACAGTTTAAGTGTATAGTGTAATATTACCAATATTATTAGTTTTTATTACTAGCCCAATATTTGGGTTACCACGTAAAAGTGAACCTGATGAGGCTGCTGTACCTGTTACAATTTGCATAGTGTAAGCCTGTAACATTAACAAATCATTTGAAATTTATTGTCAACTTTTTAACTCTGCTGCTATGCAGGAATGTGTGGCACACACTTCACACTGTTTCAGTTTCACGATATATGGAGATTTTGCGTATAAATGAGTCATAAATCATATTACATATTTTTCAAATAGGTTTTGGGGTTTTACTTTTGTAATTTTTTATTAACTTTGAAATTTCATTCACATTAACTTTAGATGCTGTAGTCTAGCAATTATTATTTTATTTTTTAATAATTGCCAGTGTCTTCCCCCACTTCAAAGCCCATTACTGCTGGAACTTGAAAGTGGAATGACATCCTTTCTCAGTTTACATTGGTTATGATGTCAAACTAAAAATATAATTTATATATACCAATTTTTTCATTTTGAATATAGTAAAAGCTTTGTTATGGGTCATTTTCATATTCAGAATGCTCTTGTAACCAGAAATTTCAATATCTCCATGTACAAATGTTCATAGTAACTTAGTAGTGCTGCTGTGGGTTTTTTAAAATTCTTTCCTTTCAACAAGCTTCAATTTTTTAGCTACATGTACTGTGATTCACATTTAAAATACTAAATACAGTTTAAGGTTTTTTACAACATTTACTATTGTTTAAAGCTGTTAGTGTTATAGATGATGTAGAAATATTGTACTTTAGAACATTAACAAGGTGTCAAAAGTTTTCCTGTAAAATATCATGAGGGAAACTCTTGTAACCACAAATTTTGCCTATTCAGCACTGTCCAGGTCTGGCAGATGCTAGATAATAAAGCTTTTACTGTATATAATCATTAGGGTAGTCTTTATTTTTGATTTAGAACACTCTTAACCCCCCTCCATATTATATTCCAATGTATAATTAAGTAATTCACACCAGATTTTATCCATATTGAATAACATTTAGGAGTTGCTCATGGTAGTTGAAACTTTACTTTGTAGCTCACATTACATCTGCATATTCTATGTATTCTAGAATCTTTCAGAACATTCTAAATATTCCAAAAGCTGATTTCTAGCACTTGGAGAGGCTTAAGCTTCTGCTTTGTCACGTTTGCTGGAAGAGTGGAGAGTCATTGATTGTGTAAAAGCAGTTTGCTTTGACACAACACCAGTCATACAATTGGAGTATGTGTGCTGTTAGAACTAAGTTTAAACAAGAATATTCTGTATTTGACATGTTAGTATTAGACCTTAAAACTTGTCCTGGCATATGTTTTCAAAGACTTATGAGGCTTTCCTCTAGTCCAAATATTGCAATTTTCACTCATTTCTAGCAATTTTGAGAATACAAGGACCAGTTCAATTATGAAACTGCAGCTGATTATGATGAAGTAGAAGTTATAAAAGAAATTAAGGGCAGTGTCATTGAGTTTTCTACAAGACAATGTCAGGTCAGCCAACCTAGATATGATTATTGAGAGCTTCTTGAACTAGCCCATAACCTTTCTTGCTGGCATCCGTTTTCATGGAGTGTGATTTATAGCACCTGGAGCACTGCAGTAACATTTACATCTTTGTTGTTTGAATCTATCTTAGAGAATGGTTTACTGCTTCTAATGCCATTCTTGCTCCTTGCAATGATCTTAACTTCCGACAACGTCTTGTTAGGTATAAGAAGGTGAATTCTATTCTTTCAACATCTGCTTGTCAAAAATTTGGTGGACATTTATGGTATCTCAGTGAGTCACTCATGTTTGGTATTCTTTGATTCAGCCGTATCTATAAGAGACAAAATGAGAAATGGTAAGAGCACGAAATGAGAAGGAAGGCATGGATGAACCTCCAAAGCACCTCCAGCTGAATATCGGGAAGTTTGATAATGGTAACTGTTACGAAAACTAGTCACCTGTAACTAATAATTAAGATTTTACCTTTTACTGTGTCAAAAAATGTCAGTTTTTGTGTTGTTTACTCTTGATATAATAGCACAACATGCCTGAAAAGAAATTGAAAACATGCGAGTTGAAGATTTCATCCCAAAGAACACAACATACTTCTTTAGGTGCCTTGAAATATCATATGGATTTCTGGATTATGACCCAAAGTCATGTGAGCTCAGAGTCTGAGAGGACTACATGTAGGCACTACAGACAATTCATCACTTGGTAAATGACAATATTAAGGAGTATAATGCTATCATAACAAAAAAATAATAGAAACAATTCCTCTTTCAGTTTCAAGTTGTGCAGGGTTGTATAAAACAATTTCCTAACAGCAAAATGGAAACAATAACAATGCAGAAGTGATAAACCACACCAAAATCATTTACAGATTATATAATAATGTACTTATACTATTGTACATGCAATAAAACATGCTTTAACTAAATCACTATAATACGTCACAAAGACCGTACCAAGTCACTGCAGTCTAGAATTTCATTGTCATTGAGCAACCTCTAAATATGATCCAAAATGAACAAAGTTTGACATTTAATGTTTTTTTTGTATATTAAAACAAAATTAGGGGTTGATAGCTTTAAAACTTTTACCTTCAAATAAGGACCAACCTAATAGTCATATTGTAGAGATAAGTAATGAAACTGCCCCCAGTGGTTAAGCTAAAAATTGTTTAGATTTGGAAGAAATCACAAGCTTATAGAGTTTTGTATGGGGAATCATATAAAAGCAAGCCCCACTTTGGATCTTGCCCCTAGGTCCAGTTCTTTAATATGTTATGTAAAATGTATGAAATGCAGTGTGGTTAACATGCCAACTTATTATATTGACAGTATATATCTAATTTGGACACCTTCAAATGATCATTTATTGTTTTCCCTTGTGAATATCAACTGTACAAAATTAAAAAAAATTCCCCCACATATAAAAAAAAAAGTTTATCCAAGAAATGTTAACGACTCCATCAGGTTTCACAGATAATTCAGTTATTTACAAGTTTATGTGGCATACATGAGATAAATACTTACATCAATTTAATTAACCATATTTAAAGAAATTATCCACTTATGACAGTTTCCATTGTGCAACCACAGTGGATCAATTCTTGACATGACTTTGATGCCTCTGATAGTGTTGTTCATCATGGTGACCATCCTCCAGTTCTTGATTGGCAACCCCATTACTCAGGGCTAGGTAGCTCCTGCCTAGCTATATGCAGCCTGATAAGCTACTCTCTTTGCATGTTTTAGAAGGGTAGACTCAGCTGGTGGTATGTTCTCAATACTCCTCTTGCCTTGTGCAAACAGTGTCTGATGTGCTTGATTTACTTTGATTTGTGGACATGTACATGAAGATCTCAAATCTTTCAATTGAATGCACATCCTCTTCACTGAATTTTTCTGGCTTAGTGAAAAGATTATAAAAAGTGGTTGTAACATCTGAATAAGCTTTCCATGTCTCAAAGGCACTTTCCTTTTCTATACCAACTAAGGCCAAGGTAATATCACATCCAGTGAAAGCATGGAAGAAAGGCAAATCCTTGCATTTATCTTGCCCCAGATGGTGAGCATTGGTGTGGGCTGAAATCTATTGGTGTTTTCCAGCACCAAATGAAATCCAAAGCTCCTGGGTGTTTATCTTGTTTGCATTTACTATTACAAGGATCACCACATCAGTATCAATAGTTATTATTCTTGAATAGTCGTTTCTGGCTGCAGAGGGAAGTGTGAAGGTTGAGCCTTATGTCTGCTTCCTCATGATTGCATGGTGCAGTACCCAACTTGTCTAGTTGGGGTGAGCCAATAACGTCCTTATTGTATGTGATGAGGATAACTGTGCCTTCCTGCATTGTGATTGCCAAAAAAAGTGAACAAAACTGTTATGTTGTAATCATTGTGTAAGAATGCTTGCCAGTTTGGTGGAATTGCTATATTAGGTGTAACATGCCTTCTAATTCCCTGACCTTTAACTTCTCGAGTGCTCTGTTTTAAGCTGTCCTCTACATACCTATCCCATACCACATCAAGTTGTTTGACATTCTGAACTTGTTCATATATGTAGTCCTTTGACATAGTGTAGTCCATGAAAACCTTGCAGTTTGTTGGTGGCAGCATGTGAACTACTACAGCACCATCCAAGATTTTTTACCTCAACACCTGGCATTTCTTTTCATGTGTTGTTTTCAAAGCAGGAAAGAATGTCTGACTTTTGACTGAATCTCGTTTGTCTCATTGAAGACAAAGAAGGAGGGTATGTCTGGTTCTCGTGCCTGAAAAACTTTAGATTGCCATCTCAGGCTTGGCAGGCAATATATGATCTGGCAAATAAATTACAGTCATTCTTTAAGGCAGCAATCTTGGTTTGAAATTTGTTCCGAGTTCTTTGTGTGGTTCCAAGATGTGGTAGATTTATCTATCCTATTTATTGTGTCATTATTGCCTTTGAATAGCAATGCAGTCATTCTTCTTTATATTCCTCATGCTTTGTTTGTCCTACCTGTTGAACACACTTAATTGATTCCACTACTGATGCAGGCATAACATCCTTCATGTCTAGATTATAGAAAACTACTGTCTCTTCAGTGAAGGGGTTACCTATTTCTTCTGTCACTAACATGAGGGCTTTGACATCCTTTGCAAATTACCTGTGAATTCTAGGTGTCTGCTCATGATGGCATGTGCCATCACTTTTGGTGTTCAAGATAGTATCTTCAAATTATTTTACTACTCTTGCTACCTCTGTTCCTGCCACCATTCATCATTATAAAGCTCCAGGGTTTTCCT